CCAGGCCCAGGCAGCCAGATCCAGCCCGTGGCTGTCTCGCTGACACCCTTACTACAGAGTAGCTGTTACTGCTTTAAACAGCAGGCTGTTACTTACTAAGCCAGTGTTTCCCAATTTTATTTGGCCGAGGAACCCTTTTCAGCTTTTCAGAATTTCAAGGAACCCCTAGGTTTCTCAAGAAAAAAAAAAAAAGGAGGGGGGCACTAGGGTGACTGGCAGGGTGCTGGGACAAGGAACAGGGTGCTGCTGGGTGCTAGTGTGGATGGCAGGGTGCTGGGGCCAGGGCCAGGGTGGTGCTGAGTCTTGGGGTGTGAGGCAAGGTGCTGGGGCCAGGGCGGTGCTAGGGTGGATGGCAGGGCTGCCAAGGAGCGGGATAGGGATGGGGTGCAGGATCTGGGAAGGAGGTGGGGGGCGGAAGGGGGCAAGGTCTGGGTGGTAGATAGGGTGCAGAAGCAGGCTGGATGTAGGGTATCTTGCCAGGGGGAGGGAGCAGGAGCAGATTGGGGATAGGGTGTCTGGCTGCGAGGGAGAGTGCAAGGAGGGGACTTGGGTAGCAGTTGGACCTCCCTGATCTGGCACCCTCTGGGCCTGACTGGTCCCAGATAAGGAATTTTTGGTCCAGGGGAGGTCATTTCAGGGCTCCTGGTCCCGTCCCCCCCATCCCCACTAGGCTTCTTTGCACCTCTATCCCCTGCAACCCAACTGAGCTGCCCACACCTGCTGGTTCCCTGTACCTCCCCCAAACCATCCCCCACAATCCAAGGGAGCGCAGCACCAGTTCCCTGCAGCCCCTCACAGCCCAGCTGAGCTGCCCGTCTGTTCTGTATGCCCTCCCCCATCCACCTCAGCCCAGCTGAGCCCCATTTCCCTGCACTTCCTCCAAGCCCCACAAAACTGATGAGCCAAGAGCCGATTCTCTGCCCCTCACTCCCCTTGAGTCTAGCCCCAGTTTCCGGCACCTCCCTCCTCCCGCAGCCAAACTGAGCTCTGAGCTCCATACACACCTCCCACCCCACAGCCGAGCCCAATCCAGCCCAGCTCCCAGACCTCCCCAATCTGCAACCCAGCTGAGCTCAATTTCCCTGCACCTTCCCCCAAACCATGGAGACATGCTGAGCTAGTGCTGATTCCCTGCCTCTGCCTTCCTCCCTCCCTTTGGCTGTGTCTACGATCTTGTGCCAAAGCGGCCGCTCCTGCGCCTGCTGGCTAGCCGGCTCTCTCTCTCTTTTTCAGAGGGGGCGGGGGAGTGCCGGCTCCTCGCGGAACCCCTAGTTTTGCTCTGCAGAACTCCAGGGTTCCCCGGAGCACCAATTGGGAAACACTGCTCTACACACTTGCCCTGCCTCTCTCTTCTGGTGCTGGTCCCTCCCCTGCAGGTGTCTTCCCTTCTGCTTCACCCCCAGAATCCCCTGGCACCTGCACCTTCCCTTAGCCCTGCACCCTCCTGGTGCCTCCCCCTTCCCTCACTACCCCTGCTCCCTTTGCCTTCTTTTTCCCTGATGCCCACCCCCTCACCACCCTCTGCCCCCATTCCCCTCATGCCCCTGTGCCCTCACACATGACTTGCTCCATCCG